ATGGATGGATGGATGGATGGATGGATGGATGGATGGATGGATGGATGGATGGATGGATGGATGGATGGATTAAAAAAACCTTCATTTTCCAGCCACTAGGTGGGAACATCGCTCAGAAGTGAGGGTATCCCTGTGATGTGGTGATCTGAGGGACACTTCCGGTCTTGACGMAAGTACCCGGCAAGGCTGCCGCACGCGTTTTCTGTGGGCCCTCTCCCCAGCAAAACTGGAATTTATAATTGTTCAGCGTAGACAAACACAATATCGTTTTCATAAGACATAGGTGAGCCTGCTTTTTTATGTAACAAATTTTTGTCCGAACTGTCGTTTGAGCGGAGGGGATTATTTTACGGTAACGCTTGTGAGAGGCCTGGTGTTAGCTTTAGCAACCCGCGCTACACCGGCCTTCAGTTTACCATAAATATTACGTGTGCTTGTTATCACTGCACAACATGTGTTGCGTTATGTAGATTTAGGTAATATCTGTCACATGAGGAGTAATTACAATTGGGTGTTTACCTTTTTATGTCTACTCCATATGTTAAATTGATTTAGCTAAGTGTAGCGCAACACTGACCATACTCAAGTGATAACGGGTACTCACTGACAGAACACTGCTTTTGTCTTTTTAACAATTTAATTTCTTTGACTCTMACAAGTGATTCCTAAAGAGCTGTTTGCCAAAAGCATGCTAGAATTTTAGATAGTCATCTAAACGTTGATGCATATAGGATGATGTCAGGTATTTGTTGTTGAGTTGGCATGCCATATTTTTGTTAAAATGTCATTAAAATACCGTGCATTTGGCTGTAAGGACATTTTAAAGTCCTGACAGTTCGTTATTTTTAAGCCCTTTGTCTGCTTTCCTATACTTGAGTAAGAAATACACCGCACATTTTAAATAAGTGTTTCTTATTGTTTTAGCAGCATACAATGAAGTAAACTTGAAGTAGTATTTGATATAATCCCACAAACGTAACATGTGTCATTATTTTTCTCTTGCAGATTGAGCTTTTCCAGCAACAATGTCTCGTTTCTTTGCCACCGGGTCAGACAGCGAGTCTGAGGAGTCCTCATCTTCCGATGAGATCACCCCCAAAGCACCCGGGACTACCTTTAAGCAGTCAGTGTTATTTTCTGCAATTTTTACCAGAACTAAAGGAAATCCTTTTTTGATTGTCTCACACATTTGGTGCCTTCCTTCACAGGTCGTTGCTTCTCAGTGACGATGAAGAAGACACCAAAAGAGTGGTGCGCAGCGCTAAAGACAAAAGGTATGTATGACACCATTTTATTCTTAAAATTACCCATTTTGTCACATCTGTTTTTAAATATTAATTTGCTGTGTATAATTTAGGTTTGAAGAATTAACTAACTTCATAAAGACTATTCGCAATGCTATGAAGATCCGCGATATGGCCAAATGTCTAGAGGAGTTTGAGCAGTTGTGTCGAGCTTTTCTAAAAAGCAAGAACATAGTGGACAAAGAGGGCGTCCCTTCTTTTTATGTCCGTCTTCTGGCTGACTTGGAGGACTACCTGAACCAAGTGGGTTGTCTTGTCGAATTAAAGAGCACAGCTTACGGTAACCTTTTTGTTCAGGTAATGAGTGAAATTATTTTTTTTTAAAGCTTTGGGAAGACAAGGAGGGAAAGAAGAAGATGAACAAAAACAACGCGAAAGCCCTGAGCACACTGCGCCAGAAGATCCGCAAGTACAACAGAGACTTCGAAACAGAGATAGCATCGTACAAAGAGGTAATTTAAGAAATGTTCTCACAGTATGTCTGACCTTTTACAACTTTCAACATCAATAACTTATAACGTTTAAGAGTAGCTAAAGATCATGTGCGAGCCGAATGTCTAATCAAAAGTAAAAAATAATATTTTGTTCTGTTAGAACCCACAGGAATCTGCAGATGAAGAAGAGGAAGAGAAGGAGGATGATGATGATTCTGGTAAGTTAGAAGTTATCGTAATGAGGTTTATGAAAGGTTCAATACCTTTCTTGTAATACCCCCCAAAAATCCACATTTACTGCTAAACTGAATTTTGTTTTATGCTAACTCTATTTGCAAAAAGGCAGTTTATATATATAAAATTTGTTTTTAAAACATGATTGAAATACAGATATATCATTTCTCATATGYTGTGCAATTTCTGTTCCACAAGGCGCCTCCTCTGAGAGCGATGATGAGACAGGAGATGATGGAGTTTCAGCCAAGGCCTTCCTAAAGAAAAAACCTGAAGGTGTGTCAGAAGCCAGCAAGTTCCTCAAGTCTGCGAAAGGATCAGGGGTAAGAAACCAACTGTGGTCTGATGGAACAGACTTTTGTTTATTGAGATGTCTTAGGAAATATTCTGAGGACTTGTCTCCTTTCGACAGGACGAGTCCACTTCTAGTGATGAAGATGAAGATGATGAGGACTGGGGCCCCGACACTGAAGAGAGTGGCAGTGAGAGTTCAGATGATGAAGAAGGGAAGAGCAAGTCTCTGGCCACAGTTTTCCTCAAGAAGTGAGCTTAGTCTCTTTAAACGAACTTTGATAAATTGTTTGTTTGTTTGTTTTTTGTACTTGTTTTATTTTCTGTGGTTTGTTTTTCACAGTCTAAAGATATAGATCAAATAAAGGTGGATGTTTAAGAAGGAAGGCTAGTTGGCAGCTCTGACAGATGTGTCAAAAAGTTCATGTCGTCTTGTGGTCTGCAGGGACAAGGGCGCCGACAGACCCAGTGTTAAGAAGGTCGATAAGAAGAAGAAAAAGAAAGAACGTCTTGGAGAGTTTCAGGAGGGAGAGGGAGAAGATGAGCCTGAGGGACGCTGGGAGAAGGTTAAAGGAGGCGTCCCTCTGGTTAAGGTAAAGCAGTGATTGTATATCTATTAGAAACATGATGCCGAAACAAAATCCCACAAAGAGCTGCGTGCCTCCTAAAAACAAGCAGATGATAACTGAGACTCATGTTGCTCTGTGGTGTCGATCCATCAGGAGAAGCCCAAGATGTTTGCTAAAGGCACAGAGATCAACACAGCTGTGGTGGTGAAGAAACTGAATGAAATCCTGCAGGCAAGAGGCAAAAAGGGGACGGACAGGTAAACTCAGGGTTCCTACTAAATAGTTTTTACTCACAAGATGCATCGTAAAGTCTGTAGGGGAAGAGAAACGAGAGGGAAAATATTCTTACATCTAATAATTTTACATAAGAACAAAAGCAATCAAAACAGCATCAATGAACAAACGCAGTACATTTACAAACATTTTCATGGCAAAAGTGGCTCAAATTGACAAAAATCTGAAATTACAGTCTGAAATTTAAAAATGGAAAATGTGTAAGAATCCTGGAAATATTATCTATTAAGGACACCAGACAGGATTCAGATTAGTGGTGTTCCGATCTGCTATTGATATTTGATATTCAATATCAGCCATAAAAAATATTATTGGATTGTATTGGCCTTAGTTAACTGACTAATTTGTTTTTGCGCTGGCTATCAGTGAAATGTTTATTTTGTTTACACTGTTTTTAGTGACGACTAAGAGCAATGATCACATTGGTTTGGGGACAGTCTGTGAAACTGGAACTGTGGACTCAACTTTAGCACAGAGGATCACATTTTAGATAATAGACAAAATAATGTTTTTTTATCCTTCCCTTCAATATTTTCAAAATATTGTTTTATTTTTAAATTGAAGTTTGAGCTCCGATAGCTACATGATTAATATTATTCTGTAGGTTCTTTATTTTTATCTCAGACTCATAGAGTAGGTTTGTTACAAAGGCTAAGCAATATTGTTGGTCATGTTATAAAGCAAAATATTACTGGTTGCATTATTTAATGCTTTGAAAATACAGGTTTCTGTAAGACTAATAAAAAAATCTGATCATGTCAGGAGCCAAAATATCTGGATTGGGACATCCCTCGTTCAGATATACTATTAGATTAAATATTTTTAATTCAGTAAAAAAATAAATCAAAAGTATTTTGTGGCTGAGTAGCTGCTTAATGTTTGTTCTTACAAAGTTGAAAGAATTGTGAAGAGAGATTATAAAATAGTTGAGCTCTTGTACCTCAAAATGTTAATCATTGTTGAAAGGTTACCGGCAGTATTTATATTTAAACTTTAATTCCATGATTTATCCAGTTGTTTCTAGTGTTCTTGCCTTTTTTTAATGCATCATGTAGAGTTGTTCCCTGATTTTATCCTGYTGTTTTCCTGCTGGCAGAGCCGCCCAGATTGAGCTGCTTCATATTCTTGCAAACATCGCTGCTGAGAATAACTTGGGTCAAGGTATCCTGGTTAAGATCAAGTTCAACATCATTGCCTCTCTGTATGACTACAACCCCAACCTGGCAGCCTTTATGAAGGTGAGAGCCTCTTYATTAAATCACTGGATGTGTTGCATCTTACAGGTTAGAGAGATGAAACATTTTATCTATCTTTGGATTAAAGAAGTTTTTGTTTTTGTTTCTAACCTGTTCCTCTTCAGCCTGATATGTGGAAGAAGTGCCTCGACTGTATCGACGAGCTGCTGGACATTTTGTTTGAGAACAACAACATCTTCATCGGGGAGAATATCGCAGAGGACAGTGAGAATCTCGCCATCTCTGAGCAGGTGACCCGTCTATTTTTCCTGTTCATATTAAGAGTGTGTTTGCATGAAAACATGAGTTAAACCAGTTTTAGTGAATATCAGCTCTCTCTTCGAAAGATTCCCCACTTACTTTAATGTTAAGATCTCGAAGGCTGCAGTAGCTCAGTGGTGAGGGCTGCGGTCTTGTAACGCTGAGGCTGCAGGTTTGAGCCCAGGTTGCGCAGGAACAGACATCCAACGTAAAACAATTACTACATCTTTACGCACTTTTATTCATGGTTTTGACCTCTGTTACATCTTATCTTGGTAGTAGGTTTTCTCTAAACTGTTTTACTCTGTGTTTTCTCTTTCTGCCAAGTCTGAAGAATTTAAATGAATATCTGCTCAGCTGCAATAATATGAAATGAAAATTCCTCAGTGAACAGTATTTGTTTGTTACTCAGGGCCTTTTTGTAATGTATCATTCATATGATCAATTTTAGCAAAATTAAACTTGGTTTAATCACCATTAAGTCAAAATAAAATGTATAAATTCTCCATCTTTGGATTTTTAAAAAACTAAAGCGGCTGAAAGGGGGAGCAAAAGGTTCAAATGGTCAAAGAAAAATCTTAATTTTATACAAATTCAAATGTTTTTGCTTAGAATGCCCATCCATGGTATTTAGACTCATAACTATTTTTTTTAATTACATTTATTCATTTTATTTGTAACGATTATATACACAACAAAGAACAAAAAAACATGCAATCAAAATAAAATAAAAGGCCGTTGAAGAAGAATAAATCTTATATCTGGCCCCTTTTTTATACCCAAAATATGTTCAAAATAAAAGTAAATTACAACAAAAATCAAAACTACTGAAAGCACACAAAAAACTAAAAAAGCTAAATTTAAAACACAAACTCAAAACAACAATTAGCATTAATTCACTTAAGCTTCTCTATATTTTTTTTCAGAATACTAGATTTTATCATTCTCTTTAACATATACAAAAATCTGGTATTTTTAACCTCATCTTCAGACCGTTCCACAATCTTATTCCCTGGATTAAAGTGGATCGTTCCTTCAGTCTCGTACGAAACCAGGGTTTCACAAACATTTCGATTCCCTTAAGATAACAACTCTCTTAACAAAATTTACTTGAATGYTGGAAGGTAACACACCTTTATGAGCTCTGTACATTAACAGCAAAATATTATAATCAACCAAATCATAGAATTTTAATAATTTCAATTCATAAAACTATGTATAAATATAGTAAAATAATTAGATAAAACATTTCTACAATTCTTGCTGTACCATGTTAGAGGYAATAAACAAAATCTAATTTAAAACCGGTACATAACAGAGGAATKTCACAGTACACAATAAAGTTGTCTTATTCCTGTCATAGGTACAGCTTTGTTTGTATGTATTTGGTTAAAAACCAAGTGTAGTTTGGAGGATTGTAATAGAAAAAGGCCGAAACTAACTGCTGTGTTGTTTGCATGCAGCAACCTTTCAGGGTGCGTGGCTGTGTCCTAACCTTGGTGGAGAGGATGGATGAAGAGTTTACCAAGATCATGCAAAACACTGATCCTCATTCTCAAGGTAAAACATTCAAAAACAGACATTTTATCCATTTTGTTATTCATAACTGTATGGAAGTTGACATCTCAATTAAATCTGACCCTAAAAAGATGATGAAAAACCCAGATTTGTGCTGCTGTGTCACACTGCTCCAACAGTCGTGGGTCTCCTGTGTTTGCTCCCACAGAGTACGTGGACAATCTGAAGGACGAAGGTCGGGTTTGTGGCATCATCGACCGGCTGCTCTCCTACTTGGAGAACAAAGGTAGCACAGAGGAGATCTGCCGTGTCTACCTGCGCCGGATCATGCACACCTACTACAAGTTTGATTACAAAGCTCACAGGCGCAGCTTGGGCCTCCAGGGAGAGACCAAGGTGAGCTCAGCACAGGAGTGGAGACGATTTTAAAGAAAGCTCTGTGCTCRGCTGCAGGTTTTCAGAGTTGTTCCTGTGTGTCGTTTAGTCGGAGCAGGACCAGGAGGAGAGCGAAGGGGAGGACAGTGCTGTGATTATGGACCGTCTCTGCAAGTTCATATACGCCAAGGATCGCACCGACCGTATCCGTACCTGCGCCATCCTCTGCCACATCTACCACCACGCGCTTCATTCACGCTGGTACCAGGCCCGCGACCTGATGCTCATGAGTCACCTGCAGGACAACATCCAACATGCTGACCCACCCGTACAGGTTGGTCGACTTCAAACCTACAAAAAAAAGTTTTCATAGACAAATCATAGAAATCTAAGTTTATCACATGTATCTTCCCCTCCCAGATTCTGTACAACAGAACCATGGTCCAGCTTGGCATTTGCGCTTTCAGACAAGGCATGATTAAAGATGCCCACAACGCACTGTTGGACATCCAGTCATCAGGCCGTGCTAAGGAGCTGCTGGGTCAGGGTCTGCTGATGAGGAACATGCAGGAGAGGAATGCTGAGCAGGAGAAGATCGAGAAGAGAAGACAAGTAAGTCCTGAAGAAACAATACAGCTCAGAGATCATCTTTGTAATCCAGATTTGTTACAGATGTTTGATGTTCTTCTGAAAGAAAAAGGTGAAGTCCTGCTCCACGTTCGATTAAAGAGTTTTAACCTGCTGCGAAACTTAAGCTCCTCTCTCCAAACGATGAAATTTAAAGTAAAATCTTTGTACTTCTCTGTATAAAATGAAACTGTGTGATCATAACCTTTGTTTCAGGTTCCTTTCCACATGCACATCAACTTGGAGCTGCTGGAGTGTGTGTACCTGGTCTCTGCCATGCTGTTGGAAATCCCCTACATGGCTGCCCACGAGTTTGATGCTCGCCGCAGGATGATCAGCAAACAGTTCCACCACCAGCTCAGAGTGGGAGAAAGGCAACCGCTGCTCGGTACAAAACCTAAACCCTGAATTCCCCTAACACCTGGAAGCTTTATCCACACAGATACCAGAGGAGATGACTGTTGCTCCTCTACCTTCCAGGACCCCCAGAGAGCATGAGAGAGCACGTGGTGGCAGCCAGCAAGGCCATGAAGATGGGAGACTGGCGAACCTGCCACTCGTTCATCATCAACGAGAAGATGAACAGCAAAGTGTGGGACCTGTTCCCCGAGACGCAGAGAGTTCGCGAGATGCTTGTCAGGTAAATAGTGTCACAGTTACACCTTGAAGGTCAAATTTTATATTTTTATTGAGTTAGGTGTTCTTTAATTCACTTGTTTCTCATTTTCATCATCATTTAAATTCTATTAGAAAGATTCAAGAGGAGTCCCTGAGGACGTATCTGTTCACGTACAGTAGTGTTTATGACTCCATCAGGTAAACACACCTTTTATTCACAATACAACCCTTTACTAATATTTGTTTTTTGTAGAGTAGCATAGCTTTAACTTTAGCTTATATTCACTACCAGTAAAAGGCTCAATGCTTTTGTATTTGTTACTAATAAGGGGTTTCTAATACCTCATACAATGTGATCCTACTTGACAAAGTTTATTTTTTCATTTTCCACTTCATCCTCTTACCTGTAAAAGATCAGCTGTTTATATTGCTGCAAACGTTTTTATCCAGAACAACTGAGTGATGAGGAGTAAATAATTATTATTGCAATGGATGAGTTTCCTACTATGGAGAGGTTTAAATATCTATGTTTTATATAAATAAATATAAAATTATATATTTATATCTATACTTCAGTGCTGTAGTGGTTTAAAGTGTAAAAAATAGGATCTGTAAATCTTTAATTAATTGGTTCACAAAACAAGCTTAAAATTGATCTAAAATCATTAAGACTTTTTTTTTACTAAGCCAACTTATTTTCTGTGACCTGCAGCATGGAGACTCTTTCTGAGATGTTTGAGCTGGAGATTGCTACAGTTCACAGCATTATCAGCAAGATGATCATCAATGAAGAACTGATGGTAAGTTTATAGCTCCCTGTTTTTATTTTATTTTATTTTTTATTTTTTTGTAGGTCTGGTTGTCTGTTTCTTTGAAATTGCTCTAAATTTTTACTTTTCCAAATAGGCRTCCCTGGACCAGCCCACACAGACGGTGGTGATGCACCGCACAGAGCCCACCTCCCTGCAGAATATGGCTCTGCAGCTGGCAGAGAAACTGGGCAGCCTGGTGGAGAACAACGAGCGCATCTTCGACCTCAAGCAGGGCGTCTATGGAGGCTACTTCAACAGAGGTAAGCTCAGACAACAGGGTTTTTCTAAATCACCAATGGACCCGCTCAAATATGAGCTTTTGGTGATGAAGCGGGCTTTACAGAACCAAAAATAGACTGTTAGTTAAATACGGATTTGGAAATTTATAACTTTGTTTGTTTTACTTTACAGACCAGAAAGGCGGCTACCAGCAGAAACAGTCATACCAGAGAGGTATGTCAGGCCAAAGTATGTATTTATATTTTAAGTTCAAAATAAATGGTCATTTTAAATTGTAAAAACATTAACTATTTGTGTTCTGAATGATGTCATTTTAACCATTTCCCTGTTGGCACAACCCCAGATCAGAAAGGCGGCTACCAGCAGAAACAGGGCGGCTACCAGCGAGGCGGCTACAGGAATCAAAACCAAGGCGGCTACTGAGTTCAAAAAGTGGGGATTTCAGTTTTTTTCCCCATAGATGTGTTCATTCCATAAACCAACCTGAGCTCAGCCACATCCTGTCGAAACTTTTTCCACCCGGTCCTGAATCTGCTGGACGTTACAACAGCTGCATAGTTAAAAAGTCCAAGATTGTCAACTCCTTGTGGCACAACATGAAGATTTTTATCACTTACATTAGAAAGTAAAGGTGTTACAGTGTGGTTGGCTGCTTTGTCGTCACAGACATGTCAACTTAATATTGATTTAAAAAATAAACAGTAATAAACTTTGTGTAATGACTTTTATTTACAACAAAGAGTAAAACCAAAGCTGGTATCGTCAGAAAATGTTTTCAAATAGACTGCAGGATATCGCATCATGAACAGTAATGTACAAATGTTTTAGGTTCATTTAAGGTTTTTCCTTCCAAACATTCAGTTTCTTGTGGTCTTGATCCTTTGTGTGTTTTTAATGGTCTTTAAAAGGCTTTTGTATTTTTTATTGTTGTTTTTTATTCATTTTCAGTTTAAAATCTGATCATTTTTAGATGTTTTTTTAAACCCTAATGAAGTATTTAGACATAAAAAAGGCAAATAAAATCAAACCAGTAGTTTTAATTTAATCTTCAGGCTCTTTGTATTGCAGTCAAAAACATAGATGAAAGCTATCACATTTTAAAATATCCATTTTACCTTTTAAAAAAGTGTCAAATTGTTCAGTGGATTTAACACAAGCTCACTCTCTTAAAATCTTSGATCAGCTCCCTCCCCTCAGTTTCAGCTTCAGTCTGTGTTTCAGCTCTTTCCTCAGCAGATCCCGCTCTTTACGGATTCCCTGCAGCACCGTGCGGTTCTCTTGAGCCCGACGCACCAAGTAGGGGAGCGTGTCATCCACTGAGCCGTACGGCACCGATTTGTACACAATAAAACTTTCTTTAGCTGGAGAAATGGGGAAAAAAAAGGATGAACTGGGACAAAAATTCATGATTGCAAGTCAACCAGGCAAAATGAAACGTTTTAAAATCTTTGTTCTGTCCAGGTGTTTTCATACTATGCAAGTCATTGATTGAGTCACCCATCTTACCCAGTGTGAGGGAGACATGATCACACATGCCCAACAGCTGACCAAAACACACAGAGCCGCCATCCTTATCTATGCCCAGCTCCTTCATCCTGCAGGTTAGGTACATAAGATTTATAGAAACAACTGTAGTGCCCATCCCAGGGCCCAAAACCCCTCAACTATGGGCTTTGAGTCGTGCTGTATTTGTACTGAACAAGTTACAGCAAAGATTTAGAGTTGATGCATAAAGTGATCTGGTTTTCTCTAAAATAAGCAGTAATGACCTCTCTCCACCTGTAGACTTTTCAAACAAACTACCATGAAGCTTAAAGGTTCATAACCTTAAAACATTGACTCATCACCACCTGTTGTTCTCAATTGTTGGCTGTTTGGGCCTAAACATTGGCAATGTCTTCTGAATAGTCTTGCCATTTTTCTATTTAAACTTACTTCAAAATAAAAGCATGAAGCATTCTGTGGAAAGGGGTTAAGGAGCTTGTAATAAATAAATTTACACATTTTTAATGAGAGAGATTCGTTTGAACTTATTTTTTTATGACTGCTGAAAGAAAGATATCTCAAATCCTAAGAATAGTTTTTGGTTGAACAAAAGTATATATACAGTATACAGTATATACACTGCTCAAAAAAATAAAGGGAACACTTAAACAACTCACGCTAACTCCCGATCTTAATCAATGAAATATTCGCATTGAGTACTTTATTCTGTACAGAGTTGAATGTACTTCACAAAAGTTTGATTTACTTGGACTTAGCGTACGTAGTTTAAGTAATCCCTTTATTTTTTTTTTGAGCAGTGTATAATTAATTTGTGTTTTTTATTTTTATTTTAAAGTGTGTTCTAACCGGTTGGCAGCTCTCCTCACTGACTCCTCATTGTGAGTGGCCACGATGATCCGGTAACGCTCAGGTTTCTGTGATATGACCTCCAGCATCACATCCAGACAGCCGTTATAACTGAACACAAGAGAACACATTACCAGACTGATCAACATGCTTAATATATTGAATCAGTATAAATCCTAACCTGAATTTTCTGAGTTTTAGTATGGATTTAGAATTAATACCATGAAAACAAACCTAACTCAAAATGCAAGGAAATGTAGGTTTGGTTGATTATTTCTTTGTTGTAACACAACTTCCAGGCAATGAATATTATACCTTTTGTAAAGCATGTTTGTTTCACCTTAAATGCTGCCACATTTGTAAGAACAAATAGTTTATGGGCAGAGTTGAAAAATATGGGTTGAGACAATTAAAAACGTGCCAGATCTTCTCCACCAATACCAAACAGTTTATTCTGCGATTGACTCTTGTTTGGTGTTTATTGGATTGAATGATTAAAGTTTGAAGAAGCAAGGCACATTATCATTTAACAGTTTATCTAACAGAAGTCTAAGTAGCATGTGGAAGAACCCTACACAGCCACAAAACAGCTCGGTGCCACCTCCTTACCAGCTTGCTCACACACTGCTGTGGGATGGCATTTCATTGGTCAACAATCACTGGTTGAAAGTCAGTGTGGTTGTGTTGGTCACTCTGGAATAAACAGCATGTCCAAGCTGATCCCACAGGTGTTCAATGGGGTCAGGGCTGCAGGGATGCCATTCCATCCAACACTACCAAATTCTGGAGGTAAACTCCACTCAGTCACAGTGACAACTGTTATCTTGGAGGATAAAGTTTAATCCCAAACTCTGGAGTTATGTGATTGCCATTGGTTACTCACAGGGGCTGACAATCAGGCAACCCATACAACTCTGCTGCTCAACCCACAAATTCAYGTTCCTTACAAATGTGGCACGACTGATGTGTTGCCATTGCATTTTTACAACAAAGTAATAATCAGCTATACACTAATTTCATAATTTTGTGACTTATTATTTTAGTTTTACATTGTTTAGGACTGATGCAGTAGATTGTTGTGTAATAAGTGCGTCCCACTGACCTGTAATTGGTGTCCTCCCAGCTCTTATGAATGGGGTCCACATGGCCCTTCTTCTCTGCCACCTTTCTCTCTTTGTCCATGTAGGCTCCTCGCACCAGTTTAACACCCAGACAGAAACCTTCCCTCTCAGATAGATGCAGAGCGTCTAACAGGAGAACCCTGGACTCCTGAGAAACTCAGACAAGAATCTGACTGTGAATACTAGTATTCTGTGCAAATAACAAAATATTTGTCAATCTTAAAAAAGAAATATTAAAGTCAAATGCCTTTAGATAACACTGATATGTGTTCCAAATCCAGGCACCATCTTTGTTGAACTTCTTCATCATTGCCATAGTAACGAGAGAGAGGGCGGGGTTCATGTAGGTGTACTCTGCATCCACCAGGACTCTGACTTTGTCAAAACTTGCCTAAAAAAAACATTTTATTGTAAATTTTCACCAATTCAAACACAACTGTTACAACTTATATTAAGTCTGTATGGACAGTTTTTGTTAAATATTTAGTTTGAAATAAAATGCATAAATTATAATGTTGTTGAACAAATTTATAAAATAAATAAATCTGGTTACATTTTAAGCATATCCTGAAATAGACCAAGGGTAATAGGTTTCCTTCAAACTGTTGCTAAATATGCTCTGCATAAAACTGACTGTTTGCTACAGAAAATCAGAACGCATTTTCTCTACTGAGTTTAGCAAATGATAACATTTTAAAAGCTAGACAGTTTTCCATTAGTTGGAATTATTTTTAAAAAAATGAACTCAATTGAGCTGCTTTAGATGCAAATTAAATTATTTCTAGATTGATTTGGACTGTTTATTTTTATTTTAAAATAATAATCATTCAGTTTCCTATCAAAGTGCCCCAAACTAAATTAAATATTAAAAAATGCAGTTGTTATAACAATAAGAATTTATTTTAAAATGGCATTTATTTAATTTAGTTTGTTTGATAGTTGTTTTGGTCTTTATAATATTGGCAACAATGGCATTCCGTACAAACTGATTGACATCTGTACCTCTGCTATTTTGTTGAGTCTCCTCAAGCCACACAGGAAATGGGCGTTCTCTTTTTCCTCTAAACCAGGGAAGCTTATTACCTGCAGGACATATAATAAATCATTTAGCATCACACTTGTCAACACTGTAAAAATTTTTTTTTTTTGGACCCACTTCTCCATCCATGGCCTTGACAAGGAGACTCAGATCATAAGGTTGTTGTTCAGTGAGAGTTGTGAGTTTCACCTTTAAAACAATCAGTTTATTGTCATTACGTACAGCATCAGCACTGGATCAAACAACAGAGACGGGGTGGGGCAGTCAGCAACAACTTGCTGCAGCTGTTTACAGCGCAAACACTAAAATGTGCATTCTTATCTGTTTTTCCCTTCATGCACCAACATTCACACAATGACACTGGGAAGGTGCTGGAAAGTTGCACAAAATGACATCGTCAGGATTCCCACAGACCTCCAGTCCCCATCAAGTAGACTAAATGATTTGTGAGTCCTTACACACAGCTCTGGGCTGAGCAGGGCTGTGATCTTCAGCTGCATCATGGGGTCTCTGCTCCAGGCGTTGCTGTTTGACATCCTCACACACTCCAGCATGGCCTCCATGTTGTCGTCGTATCGTTTTTCCCTGGTGGTGAGAGAAGAGAACRGAACACGAGGCCAGAGTTAGGGTGTAAAGTAGACAAATCCTGCATTTAAATCCTTCTTTTWCACATTTAAATCATTCAKTTGGGKTTTATATCAATTGGAACTGCAATGCTTTGGTCTGAATTCCTCCCTGTTTACCAGCCCCTCTTTCTTTTTTGAGGGCTTTCAGATCAWCTCACTTTGATGCTGTTTCTTTCAATCTAAACAAGGCGCCTATTTATTYACTAATTARTTAAAAGATGCAAACAAGGGAAACTTGTCCATCCAGCCTTGTACGTTGGAGCCAGAGTCTGACCCAGAGCCAGAGGAGAATGAAGATGACCAAATTGTAGTTGGTAAGTCCAGACCTTAATTGCCAGTTCCGTTGCAGATTATTTGACATAATAGTTTAGAAAATGCAGGGGCGGTTCTAGGGGCAGGGCCACAGGGGCATTGGCCCCAGTTGAAATCTGATTGGCCCCCTGAAGTGCCCCTGTCCTGTCACTCATCTGTCCTTCGCCTGAGAGCGATAATGATGAATGCAGTTCCATGTCCAAACACTAGTGGTGCTAATGAGTCAAATAGTAAAGTCCAGCATGAATCAAGCTGACAGAAGTCTTCTTCTTAGGAAAGTTTGAACAATCCTGCAGAAAAAGTCTTTCAACTGACAAACAAAGGCTGAATTTTCTTACATGCTGTATTTGAGAGTATTTCATTTATTTACAGTAAAAATGAATGTAAAACTGGTGAGGAGAATTTACTGTACAAGCTTTTTTTTAACTACATTACTTTCCATGTAGTTGAACATGTGTGACTGGTTAAATGTATACATATTACCAAAACATGGGATTTGTGTGCAAGGATGTTGAACAAATACTTGGCCCCTCTATGAATATTGTGGCCCCTTGATGGCCACTTATGCAGAAAAATCCTAGCTCCGCCGTTGAGAAAATGTCATAGAAAATAGAAAAAACTAATCAGTTTGAAAAATATGAACCAAACTGAATATAAAGATATCTTACTGACTAATGAATAATGCCTAAATAAACTCTAATCTCCATTCACAGATCAGAAACTGGGGCGTACCCGCTGCTCTCCCCAAGGTCCTCCTCGATGGGCACAGCCAGCATCGGCCTCAATCCAAGCAAGCTCATCTTCCTCATGGACTCAGAGATCTCGGCCTCATTTTCTCCAGCAACGAACTGGGCGTAAACTGTGGGCCTCAGCAGCAAAGAAAAGCCCCTCTTGCCCAGGAGTTTTCGTGCGACTGACATCAGCTGAAAACACAGGTGGAGAGGWGGGAGGAAACGCCAAGACAGTCAGAGTCTTCAAGAGCTTCCTGCTGCAGCGTAACAGTTATTCAGTAAGATAAATACAGCTCTCGCTCTTTTTTAAATCATCACTGAAAACAACCCTTGGTCTCACCTTCCCACTGTTGTTCACCAGCACAGGGAAGGAGCAAAGACGGAAGATGCCAAGAGTACGAATCAGTTCACCCCAACTCTTCACCCTGAAGGCGCTGGGATCCTCAAAGCTCAGTGTCCCCGACTGAAGTTCCTKCTGCTTGACCGCCGTCCTCCTGGAGGCCGCGGTGCCCAGAAGCCTCAGCGACCAGAGGTGAGGGAGTGAAGGACGTAAGTTGGAGTACAGCATCTTCGCAGGAGGAACAGTTATGCTTTCCGCAATTTATATTCAGATCCTGGAAGGCTGTTGGTATAAAACTTTTTTTTTCTTGATTACTCTGGAGTGCGTTTTTAACTTTAGAACTCAGTTGAAACCTGCAGTTATTTGCCCTGATGATGTTTAACAGAAAAGACGGAGCACCCCTACTTTACATGAAGCGCTCAGAAGAAACCTGAGATTTGTCACTGTTTCATTGAAAATTGTGCAAAACCACATTGTACATGCTCCATCGTCTAAGCAAATCTTGGGATATTTTCTTGCAAAAGAACAAACGCCACCACTGCGTTGGCAGAAGATCTAAATCACAAGTGCAAGGAAAAAGATTCAAGAGAAATAAATATGAAAAGGCCTTACCCTACATCCTATGAACACAACCAAAAGCACGCAAATGATGAAGCCACGTAGGTACAGTTTTGAGCCCAGGGCTCGCTGGTTAATGAGTGACTGTTGGGAAATTTAGGTAAACACCCAGCTGACCCTTAGCATCAGCTCACAAATCTTCACGTGAAGTCAGTCCCCTGAACCTGACTGGCTCAGACATGTACAAATATCATTTTTGTGTAAAATGAATCTGCAAGAATATTTAAAATAAATGTACTACTTTGTTTCTAAAGCACTTGAAATTTGCCACAAAGTGCGGTGCATGTCAAATCCAGGGACATTTAAAGCATAAATCAAAATAAAAACAATAAAACAAGTCAAATAAACAAGTTTCAGGCTGTGTCGTGGAATAGAAATGTGATTTTTAGAAACATTTTTAAAGTGGACAGTGCATGAGTTTGTTTAATATCATATGGAAGATTGTTCCATTATTTTAGAGCAGCAACACAAAAAACTGTTTAGTTTCATTTTAGACCTCAGCTCCTCCGGGAGCACCTGAAGCACCGAGTTGTTTATTCAGATTTTAGTCTCCGAAAAGTCAAAATGTTTTTTTTCTTTATAAAAGATAAGAAAAGAAAGCAAAAGAGCAAATTTTGATGATCATATGTGACCTGAAAATCCTCAAAAGCTGAGCAAATATTGATTATAGATATACAGCTCTCAGGCCTATTGATTACACTGAGGCMCTAACAGAGGTTAACATTTATCTTTAGACAAACCAGCTGTAAACTCTCAACTCTATGCGTGAGTCTGGGCTGAGCTGCAGCTGAAGCAAATTTTTCCAGTTTCTTCTTCTTTAATCCTGCTTTAGTCGGTTTATTCTCAACTTCCGAGGGTAAGCTCAAAAGCAAGTTTTTATAGTAAAGATTTTCTAACAAAGACAAAAAAATCCTCTATCAGAAGACTTTTATTTCATACATGAATATTTAAAACAAAAATCTAAATATATATACATACCAGTAAGAATTTCATCAACGTGCTCAACAGGTGAATTAATAAAAGGATAAGTATTCACACAAAGAATACATATATATATACATACATACATACACATATATATTTCCCCTTAAAGAGCCATGACACAAAACATTTAAATAACGTTAATCTAAAACACTGTTCTGGGGGATATGTAGGACCTCTGGGTGTGGGGGTGTCGAGGTTGTCTGTAGAGAGGCCTGAAGTGGTTGGACAGGGACGGGTGAGGGCCCTGGTGCAGGTGGAGGGGGTATGATGGAAAGGTGGAGGATCGGAGGGATGAATCCAGCTGAGGGAGAAGATTCGGGCGGGTCAGTACCATCTCTGGTGGGTAGGGCCCGGCAGGACTGAGGTGAGGGATGGCGCCAACTGGAGGATACGAGTGGGCGTAGGAGGAGGCCGAGGGATTCTGAGGAAGGGCTGCGGAGGTGACGGCCAAGAGGGAGGAGGGTTGGAAGGAAGAGTGAGGGAAAGAGGATGGAGGAAGAAGAGGAGGTGCAGTTTGGTGGGTCAGAGCGGGACTGGGAGACGCGCTCGGTAAAGAGAGGGTTTGCATTTGTTGGGCAACCGATGGAAACTGAAAAGAGTGGGAGGAGCCAGGAGCGGCGGTTGGAGGTTGGTGCTGATTGACGAAGGTTTGTGTGGCGACGGAAGCAGGATCTGTATTTGTCTGCAGGATGTTTGGATAAAGGAAAGCTGCTGCAGAAACAGCTTCATCCTGCAGCAGCTGGCTTGGCTGGGTGTGAAGAGAGTCAGCAGAGACCTGCAGAGTGGACCGACACGTGTTGGGAGGAGCACAGAAAGAGGCAGGAGCGCGGGGGGGCTCTGAAACGGTGCTGAAGCTGTTGGAGGCGGAGGAGGGAGAGGACAACGAGAGCCGTGGAGAGGAAACGTCAGAGTGAGGAGGTGTGGGGAAGGTGAAGGAGGCTTGCTGCAGGGAGGGGGTGGCGGGGAGGAGAGTAGGGTAGTCAATTGGAGGGAAGGAAGGCTGAGGGTGGGCTGAATCTGAGGAGGATGGAGGAAGAGGAGCGGAGAAGTCAGACTCAAAGGTTGCTGAAGGCATCATGTCTGACCTGTGAAGAAAACACAAGTTTCAGCAATCCATGCAGATTCTCAGGCCTTTAATCTGTTATGATCCTTGAATAAAAGCTGGAATTTAAAAAACTCAACAATCTCAAGAAATAAATATAGATTTTCTCTGCTGAAATAGTGAAGTCACCAATTATTTATACAAAAAATCATTTAAAAAAAATCCCAAACACAAACGTTAGCTCTGCGTAAAATTGGTAATTTAAAAAAATCACAGTAAGCAGAACTTTGGAAACAGATTAAACCATTCTGGGGGAAATACAGAATGTTTTCTTACTGTTTGTGTGAGCAAAATTTAAACATCAATGTGGTTTTGATTGTACCTGAGATTTCTGTTGAAGGGAAAAATACTGTATGATGTCATTTTTTCCATTAAAAGGGAATGTTTTGGGAGCTCTTGAACACAAAAGCTCTGAGAAAGTTTACAGAGTTCTGAGACGTTTCTGAGATGTTACATTTGGCTTTCATTAAGTTAAAAATGAAGTGAAGTGTTGCTTTTTTCAGTATTTCAAATAAGATCAGAAATTTAAAAGAACAACATTAAAAAAATCTTGAAAGAAAAGGTCTAGAATTTCATTAAATATGAATCATTTTTTGCAACTAAAATGATTTTGCTATGGTAAAAATCTAATTGATTTAAATATTTATTGAAAAGAAACTAAATGGAATTGTTATAGATGTAAATTGGATTCATGTTATATTAAACTGGACTGAATTTTTTAAAATCTTTTTATAAGAAAAAATTGGATTGTGATGAAAGGTTTGAAAAGAATTATTGTATATTTGGGTTAAATTGGTTTACTTCTGATCAAGCTTTTTATTAACTTGTACAAGTTTTTTTCCAGAGTAGGCTACCTTGAACAAAACTAAATTAAATATTTTTTAAAATAAAAATGTTTAGAAAAATGACTAACACCCTCTGTGATAAATGTTTGCACACTTACTCTTCAAGCAAACTGTTTGCTGCTTCATTTCCCTGAACCTCCTGCATCCCCTCGCTCCCCGGGATGCTGARATCTGACATCTGGGAGGTCATGAAAGCCTGGCCGAGGTCCATGCTCTGCTCCGGGACTTGATAGGAGGCCACCAACCCGCAGGAGGACTCGGTCAGAGAAGGCAGAGAGGGGAGAGCGAGAGCCTGCAGGTCTGCGGTGCTCACAGGCTCGGGAGATTCACAATGATCTGAAAGCGAAAGAAGAGGTTGACTTTAATATCAAACCGTTTGGATTAAAATCGTAGCTCCTGTTATTTATCGTACCCACCGTTGTCTACGGTTTCTGTCAGGACAGTCAGTTTGCGTTTCTGTCTTGCATCTCTTTTTCTGCAGAGAGAAATATAAAATATTCGTAGATCATTTATTCACAAAACGTAGCCTTCAAAATGCTATTTTTGGTGGGAATTACTTTTTGCTGTTCATGCCATCTTCTCGAAAGCCCTTCGCAAAAGGGTTGGAGTTGATCTTGAGCTCTGTGATCTAAACACAAAAACCAAGTTGCACGGGCAGATTATTATTTTTAGTTTAGCTGTTTACGAAGGTAAATGGTTTACCTTGTTTTTTGCCTGACTAGGCTTGTTACACTTTGTGATTTAGAGATTAAATATAAAAACACACCATAATCTTTCGTTGCATTTTTTTTATTGTGAATGTAAAAGTTTAAAGCCCTCTTGTGGTCAAATAGAGTTAATACCATTGAACAATTTAGACAAAAACAAAACAAACAAAAAGACTGTACTTATGTAGTATCTTTCTACCTRACTRGGCAAATCAAAAAAACTTAACACAATTTCTACCATCAGATTCTCACACAAACATATATTTGTAGTGAGTGTGCTTWGCAGTAAACTATGAYACACTATGGTATTAGAATAAAAGTGTTGTGCAAAAGGTTTATAATTACAYACAGCATTTGGTTTTGTGTATCTTTCATTGTCTACAAAGGGAAGGCAAAGTAGGGCCCCCAAACGTCCAGGTCCAGCCCTGGGTAAACCTTAAAGTTCCTGTTTTGGCTCTGAACTACCTTGGTGTTCTGGTACGCGGTGACTGTGATGAACTGGGTTTCAGGGAAAACAAAGGTGTGATGCTCTCTGTCCCATCTCACAACATCTTTGGCTTCAACCACATGAACTCTGGGCTGGTAGCGATGCAGCGAGTGCAGGATGATCTGGGAGAACAACACAAAAAGGTCCGTTTCAGACATTGCACAAAGACAGACAGCTACAAAGTAAACGCTGTGAGTCTGCGGGACTCACGTGGCCCTGTGTGTCCAGCGTGTTGTTGGTGAGCTTGGCGTAGTGGAAGGAGACACTGCGGCTCTGCCAGTGTGCACCTGCGGCAGGGGAGTCTGGGTGGATGAACACCCGGGCCGGCAGCCTCGCCTCAGCGCCGCCGATGGCCTGCCAGCCTCCACTTTGGAAACGGTAGCGGTAGTTGTCCACCGGAACGATGTCGAGGAGGAGGATGTAGCGGAGAGATGGGTTTAAACCCGACAACTTCAGCCTCAAGCCAGGAAACATCCGCCTGGAAAAGAACAGAAGAAAAATGATGGATGTGTTTGTTTTTTTGTGGTTTTTGAGCTACTTCAAGGTTTATGCTGCTCTAACCTGCCCTTCTTTGTTATGATCATCTCAGTGCCCACAGAGCTGAACTGCTTCCACAGAGAGGAATTCTCCAGCTCCACCTTCACCTCGTCTTTCTGGATTTTGGAGGTCGGATTGTTGGAGACAGGAGGAGGAGGCCCCAGGAGCCTCGGGGCCACGTCACAAACTGGAGAGAACATTGGTAAATGTGCAGGAGCCTCTCTGTCTGTAAAAAAAAACAAAACAAAATCTGGAGTTATTTAACATAAAGAAAATTTAGTACTTTTACATTTTTCTTACCTCTGCAAAGACAGTCTCCAATCCTCTGAGGTCCCATAGTCAAACCTGAGCACATCTCCACACCTAGCATTCTGCTTTGATTCCTCAACTGTTTCAAAGTATCATTCCTTAGTTTTCCTCCTTTCACTTTGCCTCTGTCCAATCTATGTTTTTGCTGACTTGTTAAAAACAAAAGTCTCCTGTTTCCTGGTTCTGTCCGTGCTCCTGTTGTTTCACTGTCCTTCGCTGTTAGAGCCCAAAGTGCCGAACGGTTCTGTTAAATAGGTGAGGACTTCACACCTTTGGCCAAATGGTCCCATTTTCTCCTGAACTCCTCATTTGCCTCCCCGTTTTTCACCTCCCAATCCCCTCAACTTTCCTCCTGTTGCTGCTTTAACAAACACAAACAATAACTCAACAGCTGGTGCTCTGGCGGGAATGCATATCGCCCGCTGTCTTTCATGTCAGAGGTTTTAAATTACGTACGATCATCTCATTTTGAAAAATATGGAGTTACACCTCTTTAGGCCACACCTTGAAAATAGCATCTACACAGATCTCACAGCAACAGTTAGTGTTCAGAGTATAAGTTGTGAATTTCTGTATTTTAAGCTATTACCACACCAACAGCTCAATACATGTAAAACATGCTGACGATTGTTTTGTTGTGGTCGTCATCTTGAATTTGACTGACTAAAAGTCAGTGAGTTGCAGATGTGCATCCACTGAAAACTTTCTGAGAGTCGGATTAAGATCAGTCCAGTGACCTATGAGATATTTTGCTAACACAATAGATAAACACAAGGGGCTTTGGGCAGTGAGCAATAATCGTACTTAAAGGGACTGAATAAATTCAAACTTGTCATCAGAGACTATTAAGCACAAAACTGAGATATTAAAAAGTATTTTCTTCACAGTTGGATTTTTATGAGCTTCAGATTTAGATATTTATTATTAAAATTATAGTGTCAGATTATTAAGTTTATCATGGGTTTGCATTAAAAAAAATCAAAAAACTGATCCAAACATTTATCTAGATCCAGATGAAGTTTTCCCACTCATATGTAGTCTCAAAAAGCTCTAATTTTTGCCTTTTTCTTGTTTTTTCTACATTAAATTGTTTGCTTTTTTCCAACTTTATTCATTAAATGTTATTTGGAGTCATAAACCCCAACTCCAATGAAATTGGGACATTGTGTAAAGCATAAATTAAAAGAGAAAATTATGATTAACTTTTCAAACTATATCAGTTTGTGAAGGAAAATAATTGTTGCCCGTGTATTTATATTTTGATGGTGTTTCAGCTATGTTTTACTTATAAACATATTTACTGCATATGTATCGTCACATTATTCTGAATTGTTTTAACTCATGTTGTAAGTTTCCAGTAGCGCACCTTTATTGCGTCTTTTCTTGTTCATCAAGCTTTAACTTCACACAACTGTGATTTCTGCACAACTGGATTTCAGAACTATTTGTTTTGTTACTACTGGAATGTGAACATGTAAGTGATGATAAAAYATGAAGCATAACCACACTTTAAGGTGTTTTTCTTTGTTGAAGGACCACAGAACAGGATTTCAATTGAAAAATATTTGCTGCTCAGATGAGAACCACTCCTTGCATGTCAAATGGGAACTGGTTTTGGACTGGTTTCTACTGGAAGAGTAGAAAAGATGTCTTCAGACTCAACTTGTATTGCTGTATGCATGTTGACTCATTYMATTGCAATAAAAATACTCAGAGACCATTGTAGTGGACACTTTTTGATCATGTAGCCTATTTCTGCATTTTGTTTAACAGACATGGAAAATTTTTTCCACCACAAGTTGAATACACTACAAAGACAATATATTTAAAGTTCAAATGAATGATACCTGCAACGTATTTCAAAACAACTGAAGCAGGGGCTTGTTTACCACTGTGTTACATCACCTTTCCTTTAAACAAAACTCAGCGTTTGGGATCTGAGGACTCTGTTGAAGCTTTGTAGGTGGAATTCTACAAAAGTAGTATCCGCTCTCTTTTTCCAAAAAGCCACGCTGTTGTAACACGTGCAGAATGTTGCTCAGCATTGTCTTGCTGAAATAAGCAGGACGTCCCTGAAAAAGATGTGGCTCGTATGGCAACACGTTTATCCAAAACCTGCATGTAGCTTTCAGCATTAACGGTGTCATCACAGATGTGACAGTTGGCCATGCCATGGGACACTAATGCATACCCATACCATCAGAGATGCTGGATTTTGAACTTTGTGCTGATAACAATCCAGACTGTCCTTTYCCTCTTTGGCCAGGAGGACACAAGGTCCMTGATTTCCAAAAACARTCWGAAATTTGAACTGGTCAGACCACAGGACACTTTTCCACTTTGTGTCAGTCCATCACAGATGAACTCAGGTCCAGAGAAGCCAGCTGCATTTCCAACGCATTCTCATGCCCCCCGCGTCAACATATTGACGCTTGGTCAGGTAGCCGCCTGCGTCAACTTTTGGACGTGCCGGGTAGCCCCCACRCATCCGTTCTTTACGAGATGAGGCGGAAGAGGACGAGCGCGTTGTCATATTTTTTCACAAGAGTAGGAAATGCACGAAACCAACCATCGCAGACCCCAAATTTAACTTCTATTAGCCTCATACAGCCTATCCCTAACCACAGACGCTAAAATTAACCATTAAACCTGATCCCTCATATTAACCATTTTTTTMAATGTAGAGAATTTGCGAGAACTGTCCCAGAGCCTAAATTTAACCTATATTAGCTACATACAGCCTATCCCTGACCCCATTATGTCAAATTAACCATTAATCCTGATCCTTCACCTTAGAACCCCCGACCCAAAGACCCCTAAGTAACGCAACCCGGAAAAGCCGCAGGTGGCAAGGGCAGACGCTTGAGGGGTACCCGACGCATCAAAACTGGACGCAGGCGGTCCCTGCCCAAGCGTCAATATGTTGATGAGTCTGACATGAGAACGTGTTAGCATTTCTGGGTGTTGTTGATATATGACTTTGAATGGTAGTTTTAACTTGCACTTGTAGATAGAGATGAACTGTTTGCTGATGATGGTTTTCTGAAGTGTCCCTGAGTCCRTGTGCTAATATCCATTTTTTAATGCAATGACTGAGGGATCAAAGGTCACAATCATTCACCAATGGATTTCCATCTTGCCACTTACTTGCTGAGATTTGTCCAAATTCTCTGAATCTTTTGATGATGTTGTGGACTGTAGATGATGAAATTCCTAAATTTCTTGCAATTGTTGAGAAACATTCTTAAACCTTTGGACTATTTGCTCACACAGTTGTTCACAAAGTGGTGAGCCTTGCCCCATCCTTGCTTTTTGAACTGAGCCTTTCAGATGCTCCCTTTATGTCCAGTCATGACACTCACCTCTTTCACCTGTTCACCTGTGAAATGCTCCAAACAGGTGTTCTTTTGAGCATTCCTCAACTTTCCTAGAATTTGGACGCTCCTGTCCTAGCTGTTTTGGAACGTATAGCATCAAATTCTAAATTAGCTAATTTTGGCAAAAATAAAACCAGTRGTTTTTCCCTTTGTACATTAAATATCTTGTCTTTGTAGTTTATTTAATTGGATAGGCTAAAAAGGATTTTCAAATCATCTTATTATTTTTTGTTTGTTTGTTTGTTTTGTTTTACACAACATCCCAACGTCATTGGAACTGAAGTTGTATTTTGCATACAAATTTTAGCATAATTTTTCAAACCACATATACAAAAAGCTTCATAAATACTAAAGCACTTTACAATTTGTCCTACTTTACACATTGTGGAGAACAAGAGACAMTAAATTCATTATACACACTTAATTTTTTTTCTGTCATCCAACTATAAATTATACACTAACTGAAAAAACAAACTGAATGCTGTCATCTTTTTTTTAATTTGGGTTAATGCAAACCTGTTTATTTATATCTACATAAATCAAAGTACCGGCAGACCCCCAGTAGCTGTCTGATGACTTGATGACACGTCTCTTCCTCCCCCAGTCTGCTTGTTAAACTCTCTCTCTGCAGGGAGTCAGGCCCTGAACACAGGTGCAACTGGACCACACTTGGGTCAACGGCTGCAGTTTGGTCACTAACAGGAATGTCTTTCTTACAGTATACGTTTACTTCAGGTAAATAATATAACAGAATATAAAGATATGCAGCAAGATTACTTGATTTTATAAATTGCAAGTTCATGAGTCATGCGTCACTAAAAAATATTTAACGCCACATCGCTGTTAATGCTGTTATAACCTCATTACAGTGATGTCAGCATGTTGCCTCATGATGGCATTCCAGATAGGTAAAGCACCCATGCAGTATTATTTTACTATTTAAACTTTTTATTTATAAAACCACTGAAAAGTTTTCTTCTTAACCTCAAACCTTCCTGTAGGAGCTCCAAGAGAAGGAGGCGCAATTGATGTCATATTTAGCTTCCCTCTTTGCATAATAAATTTATTTTTATCATGAGAACTTATTTCAAGTTGTTTTTGTTTGGGACTTGGCTCCTTTTTCATTTGTTAATTTCTGGTAATAAAAAAAGGATTAGTTACCAGAATCTCTTTTTTAAAAAAAGAAAGCAGATAAATTTCAATAGAGTGAGATAATGATTAGAATACATCGTCGCTTTAACATTTCCTGCTGAGTCCCTGCCTGAGGATTAGAAAGGAAAAAGAAAACTAACAAACAGACCCCATACCTACCTGCTCGCCAACATTAAAAAAAAAAGATGACAGCTGGAGTCAGTTTACACGAGCGAGGTTTACATGTTGTTCTAGTTGTTGTTTTCTTTCCCCATTTGTGCTCGTTGTCGGGGATAAAAGCAGGCGAGGAGCGAGGGGAAGTGGAAGGTGCGAACGCCATGCTGGGGCCTGGATGGGAGCAGCGAGGTGTGTGATGTCTTTTAATGCTTTTACGAACAAACAGGTGCATCGTGGCCCTGCAGCAACGAGCCAGTAATGAGGGCCGTTAGGTTTTGTTTTTCCTTTCGCCGTTTTGTTTTTCCTTTCGTCGTTAACTAAAGTGGGGGAAGATCATGCGGCTAGTAGCAAGTTTGAAATGACTGCCTTTGACACRTAGGTGTGGAATGGTTTGATGTCCACCTGCGTTTACTCACGGAGGGCTAAAGGTCATTTTACAGGAATTTATGAGACGTGTTACAGTATATTGCTCGTCACTTGGCTTTAAATCCTCGTAGTTAACTCTGGAGATTTAGCTTCAAAACTTCAAAAAAAAAAAAATGGAGACTTCCTGCTTCATAATGAAACAAGCTTTTTAATCTGATCAAGATTACTTTTCACCCTGGGCTCCATGTAAATACTTTGTCTTAAAGGGATATTTGTCAGCCCACACAAAAAGGTTGAGCTCAGTGATTGCTGGGATTAAAACAGGCTGTGTGGACTCTAAATAAATGCCCTGTGTTTTAAATTACAGATTATCTCCGATTTCGTCTCCTCTCACTTGCAAGCTGAAGTCTTTTTGTGTTAACCTGCATACACTGTATTTTTAATCAACCAGGATCTATTTTTTTTTTATTAAGCTTCTGCCCAACACAAATGCAAATACCTGCCTAGAGAGCACTTTTCATCACAGCGTGGTTTTACAATCACTAGATTAGATCACGCACRTCCATGAGGATCAAAAGTCAAGCGCAACTGTGAAATCCAAGTGCGTCAGACAACCTCCAGAGGGTCTCTGTCCGCCTCGGACACCAGCACAGTGACCTCGTCGTGAAGCTGGACRGCGAGCCTCTCTCTGAACACGGGCAGGAAGCCTCGCTCGCTGTTGCTGTGGTCGCTGAGGATGACGCTGGTTCCCTTCTCTGCCGCATCCAGCACCTCGTGGTGGGACATTTCACCTGAGAGGTTGGATTTAACGACACCACAGGCTTAAAAATATGTTTTAAAAAAATATAACATACACAAGTGGTGATTCCACCTGTGACACAAGTGATTTATTATTTACCGGTGATGTAGAGGTCTGCTTCAACACCACTCAGCACTGACGCTCCGGATCCGGCACAGACCGCCACAGAGCTCACAGAAGACTCTGAAAACACACAAATATTTCCATTTCAGCAAATCATTGAACTTTACATTCAAAAACCATAAAATCCAAACTTTGACTAAGGAAGACGTTTATTATTTTTTTTCTCCAATGGAAACAATGGCCAAAAGAAGCACAGATTCTTTATTTATGAAAATGAAAAGTATTAGAGAAAAAGGTTAGTGTGGTCATTGGATTGTCCTTTTAGAAACGGGTATTAAAAAACAAGTAATGAGTGGATTTTTGTTTTTTGTTTTAAAATACTGAAATTAGAATTAAAATTTAAAGCCTTTCTCATTATTAGTGTCAAAAAGGGATGAACGAAATTTTTTAAAATGGCTTGAGTTTCACTTTCTGTTTCAGATAGCAAAAAAGAAAATAACTTTAAACAGAAACGAAAAAAAAGGCTTGTTAGTTATTTTATGACTATATATTCCCCAACCAGAAGGGTCGCTTGCCTGGAGGGTCTGCATAATAAAACACAAATTTCTGTGAATAAAAGGCCGAAACACAGACGTGTTTGTCCATAACTGAGTTGTATGATGACTGTCGCTCTGTGACCAAAGGTTTTGCAGAGATACTTTGTGTGACTTTTGGCCAAATAAGTCCCTTTTTATTGAATATACACTCACCGGCCACTTTATTAGGTACACCACGCTAGTAACGGGTTGGACCCCCTTTTGCCTTCAGAAC